CTCCTGGAGGGGTTGGCGGCGCGGTGGGATGAGGTGGGAGGGACGCGGTATACGTACGAATTGCCGCTGGACCGAGCATTTTTGCTTAGTTTTTTTACACGAAGGGTCGAATAATGCCCCCGATACCTCCTCATCTTATACTAGATGGCCACATGGAATAATAAGGGGCGCCTTTAATAGGAAACGCGTAAAAATATGCCTGCTGTGCAAAAAGTGCCATTAGGACGTTCGGATAACGGACCCCATCGGACGCGGCGAGGACATTTATTCTTATGGAAAGTTCCGACCATTCGATTAGCAAAAAAAAGTGATTGAAGATAAAAGAACATTATATCATTCATTCCTACATAAATATATTTTGTGCTTAATGTAGATACTTGATATATAAACCACATTGTACGTATGGGTAGGTACACCTAGGATATACAGGGTGTTTCTGGAATAAATAGCAAGCTTTGGAGGGTGTTTACTTAACTCCGTATTTAAACTGGTTTAACTTGTTTGAAGCTTTAAGTAGGTACGCTTTATTTGGAAAGCAATTATTAATTCAAATCCCTAGTCAATTTAAATGCGCTTCAAACTCTTAAATTGAAAATTACAAAGCACATTTATAAAGTAATTCTTATTACCAAATCCTAACTTCTTGTTCTTGAAAGAGCGTGAATTACAGTGCTTCCAAGCCTTCAAAAGTCGATACAGGGATTTCCTCCTAAATCCCTTATGAAAATTCCACCAAAAAAGTGGTATTAAGTACTAAAATGAGGATTGCCTTAGACGCTTTTCATATGGGTCTTATTAAAGGGCAAACGTATCACATGTATAAACTTACAACTAAATCTACCTTGTGGGGGCTCGATGAGACAGATCCGTTTGAAAATACTTTCGGTAAAACGAAAAAAGTTATAATAATAATCCCCTTGCACAATTATGTCGTCGTTTCAATGAAATCATTTACATTTGCAACGAACCAACAAGTGTACTTCCTGATATTGATACTATAAGATATCTGATATATGTATACATTGTATTTTTTTCATTAATAATAAAGTTAATTTTTCCAAAAATTTTTAATGGGGTAGCAATAATTTTTCCC